CACCCCACTCCCTCCCACGCCTCCTGCCCCTCCCCCAACCAACAGCCGCCGATAACATGGCGCCAAGGTGGGGCTCGCCCGATCCGGGGACACCGCACATTCGCGAGAACACGCGGGCGGGTACATGTAATTCTGTTGTCGTCTGTTGTCAGTCCGGAGAGGCGTCGCGATCAGCTTTCGCTCGGCAAACTGAAAACCACGAGAGAGTGCGGGTGTACGGGAGCCGACGCCGCGTGGCGCCCCCTACCATGCCGCTCTCGCGCCCGGTGCAGCCTGGTGATTGGCCGCGTGCGACGTTTGTTGTAGCCAATTGGAACGCGCGACGACCGGCGGAGCCAATCAGTGCGCGCGATTTCGGCGTCCCGTGTTTGTTTGTTTTTTCGGTCGTGCATAACTCTGTCTGGTCTCGATTTTTTTTTTTCTCGTGTTGCCCCAGTTCGGTGAGGTTTTGGAAGAAGTACAAACGTGTGATAAAGTGTACAGTAGATTAAAACATTCTAGGCTGACGACAAGAGCCATGATTTTCCTGCAGGAAAACAGCTGAACAGTACTACTCGTATTAGCTTCAAAACTCGTGAAACTCTTGCTGCTAGTTATCGTAGAAATTGCGCGAATGACTTTCGATTGCGTCGAGGTTTTGCTGTTGTTGTATTTTATATAAATATGCATGGTTATCTCGACTGAAAACCGCCTCGTGGTTATTTCCGCGCCATATTCTTCAGATGACTGGTCGAAATTCGCCTTTGAATTGTCAGTTATAGGGAACAACGTCCTCAATGCTTCCCTACTTCATGGTCAGCGCTGCCATCTGTCGGGAACTATTGTTACTTTCTGTCGGATTTGTTTCCTATTATTGTTCCGTTGTGCAGAAATTTGCTGCTTATTAAAATGGTGACGTAGTATGTACAAGCTGTTTCCTTTCCGATAATAAACGACTAGAATGTTTTCACTCTAAGTATATATTTTTGTTTTGTTTATTTATATTTGTGTTTGCGGGGATGGGATTCGATATGCATGTGTGCATGATGGAAGGCACTCTATAAATAGATTCGGATTGCATAACAATAACGTTGCAATGTGCACAATTACAATGTACAATTGTGTTTAGGTACAAGATTCACCATTTGCTTAATTTATCACACAAATTCGCTTGAAAAGTTAAGACATACTTTGGAGTGATGTCCGAACAGTGGAGTACAGAGAAAACATTTAGGTTTTCATGTTCCGATCCGTAAATTGACAATACTATCCGGTAGATGGCGCAGAGGCATAGAAAAAGAGATAGCGTGATAATCAAATCAAATCAAATCATTTATTTCGCTCATCAGCAATTTACATATACATTCAATCAATCAAGTTGTAAATAATAATTCGAGCAGGGGAGTGGTGAATTGACTCAAAGTCATCTAGTCTGCCACTCTCCTAGAATACAAAAAAATATAAAGACTTGGATATAGCTACTGCATTACATATATAACGTTATTTTACCAGTACATTGAACATGTAATTTGCTCCCACTTTAGCTCAGATAAACGTTTAGCAATGGTAATATTAACATGACATATATTCAGGTACTAATACGACAAATTGTGATTGCGTGATAACATCATAATCACTGATCTCTATTATACTAACTATAATTATACTATAATTATACTAATAATTAGTATAGATCAGTGAATCATAATACTGTAGCCTGTGCGTGCGTGCGTGCGTGCGTGCGTGCGTGCGTGCGTGCGTGC